CATCCTATATAGGTTTTCATAAATTCTTGCTGCGAATTACGATTCTTTGGTAGTTTTTATAATCTTGTCTTTTTGGTTGGACATAGGAATAAATGGGAAGACCGCATGATTAACTATTATTCTGCCTCAGGAAAGGGCTATTTCAACAGGTGTGTAGATTTGGAAATGGATGTTGGCCTTGTTCATACTAGTTCAGCATACAATAGTTACTCCAACCCGTGAATTTCTTGTGTTCTGTAAGATTTGGCCAAGTTCCGTATATTCAAGCAATAAAACACGTCAAACTGGCGCAGAGGCACAAAGTAAAGGCAGATATGCTTTCGCAGAGAAACCGTTCTTTCCACGTACGGCATCCGATACCTTATTGCTGCAATGTTGTAAAGCTGCTAATACAACGGACATATGTTGATGCACACGGCTTAAATTGATGATCACACAAATACTGGACATAGTTTTATTGAACGCCGCCGTTCATCCCAGGCATCATTCATTATCATTGATAAGGACGAAACATAAGTGAACGTAAAATTCGTAGTTCTTGGCAGATCAGTAAAGCTGAAATCTTGTTTTGATTTTCTCTGTTGTAAACTAATCAACGTGATTCGACTGGATGTTGGAGTTACTGGCGAAAGATAATCGCTTCAAATCTGACCAACCTACTCGTGCCTCCTCTTTTCCAACAGTTTGAGCAAACATAACATCATGTGAGGAAAACTTAGACAACCACTTAGTAAACTTTTTCAGCCTCGCAGCTGTAGATTCTGCCTTTAGAAAATTATGATATTCCTGACTGATGCTATCGAAACACAAATCTGCCAAATTATGAGTTCAGTGAAATACAGGAATGCATATGACCTTCATTAATTGGGCCCGTCAGCTCAGTGGATCTGGATTTAAATGTTGGAATCCTGAGAAAAGTCGATCTTTCTCATCATCATCATCATCACCCATAACAGCTTCTTCTTTCGGGTTGCGAAGCCATATGCGTCAGACAGTACTTCCAGCGTTCCTTATCCTGTGCCAGCGTTTGAGTCTCGGCAGAAGATAACGAGTCTAGAGCAGACTCTTTCCATATATTTGTACCAGGTTATTCTTGGCATCTCCTCGACTTTCTGCCGGGCGATTTCGCAAGAAAGAGTTGCTTAGCCTTCCTTTCTTTAGGCATTCGCAACACATGCCCAAACAATCGCAGCTGTGACTTCTCAGTCTGAAGAAGCAGCGGCAGTACACCAAGGCTATCGCGGATGTCTGTATTTCGGACCATATGGAGTTATTACCTGCCAACAACTCGTTTCAGAAAGCTCATTTCAGTGGCTTGTACCAGTGCTCGAAGCTTCTCAAGTCACGGTCCATGACCATAGGTAAGCATGAAGATGAAAATCGACTTGAACATCGAGAACTTAGTTTTCAGACTCAGCTCTGCTTTAATCACAGTGAATCGGGCTAGTTTACGTAGAAAGCCACCGGCTACTCTAATTCGCCGGTCGATCTCTTCGTCAAATTTTCCATCACTAGTAAACATGACTCTGAGGTACTTGAACTACTCCACCTGCTCCATTGATTCTCCGTTTATCTGGATAGACCAGAGGGCAGGAGAATGAGTATGGCCTCACCAACTAACTCTTGTTCTTTTCCACAGAGTAAGGATATGTTCCAATTTCCGACTTTAAACTCCCCCTGGTGATGTCGTTCTCGTGGAGCCTTTTCTGATGTGTTATAATGGCTCCTTCGTTCAGAATGGGTGGCGACTCCGTTGCTGACTGGTATATTTATCGTCGTTCCGTCTGTTTTCGCCAGCTGGTTGTGCTGTTACGCTCCCGGCTGGCAGAGGGCGATGCACAGGTTCTGATCGTCGACATTTCGCAGTCTGCCTCAGTCCCCGAATAGCCTGTGCGGCCCATGGTAACCCGGGGGGGGGGACGACCGAGTCGGTATAATGTTCGACGACAACAATAGCATGAGGGGAAGGTGACTAAGTTTGACTTAGATTCCGCCATTGTCTCTACCCAACCTCCTTTCTCATCCTTGCTTGGCGCTGGCAGCGGCGGAGTTAGCTGTTTTTGTACAACCAGCTGAGAAACGAGTAGCAACCCATTTCGACGAATAGTTATAGATTGGTGTAGTGGTGTGGTTGTATCAGAATGAGCGAGAGGTTCTATGCTGTCAGATGCGAGTGCCTTGCCTCTAAGGGCTGCAGTTCAAATTGATCACTTATTTGCTTCTCATTCATTGTGATAATCAGCAGAAGTTGGAATCCCCAGTTGTTGCCTCTATATGAGGCGAACATTTCGTTGATTGTAGACTTAACTATATTCTCTGTGTCGCCGCCGCTGATACTGTATAAATTTGAGATCTTTAATTTAAGTCAAATCTTAGGCTTCAGTTACAGACAACACGTTGCTAATATAAGCTTTCTTTTTGAGAGCAGATCTAGTCATCACGTGCACGTAGTCAGCGATGAATTTTTAAGCCAATCAGAAGAATGTCTTCGTGCTACCGCGTTTACAAACTAGGGGTGGAAACCCTAGTGCACTAATCTCTGTTCATATTTCTTTTTGTTGGTTGTCTTTATGCTCTGCCTCTTTGGAACTGCAGCGGCGTAGAGCGTTATTCCAGTGTGAACAGACGCTTGCTTGAGTATCAGAGGCAGTGAGTTTCATCCACATTGGCGAGCTCATTTACTCTCCGGCTAAACAGTGGCATGCGCTTCTCAGATATGATCATTGATTTGAATTTTATATTAATCTATCACTGCTTTGTTGACCAACCGTTTCCAACTTCATTACCGGCTTTCAAGGCTTCCTTAGCCAATAAAGGGTAGCATCACCCACCATTCTTGATTCTGCGGCATTACAGATTTTTCATACGCTGCACTTCATCATCTTGCTCCTTTATCTTGTTGTCATTGTTTGAGAATATTTTCTGTAATCAAGTTCCGCTAATAAACTTGTCAGTTTTTTCAGTTAGCAGATTTGTATGTTGCAGGTAAACAAGTTAGAAGTGAGTCCAGATGGGGCACTGTTGGCAGCTGCTGGATATCAACACATTCGAATGTATGATTTGAAAACTGCAAATGCATGTCCCTTCATTAATTATGAAGGGATGACGAAAAATGTAACCACTGTTGGTTTCCACACGAATATGCGCTGGATGTTTACTGGTGGAGAGGACAATTCGGCTCGCATATGGGACTTGCGAAACAGGAACCTTCAGTGCCAGCGCATTTTTCAAGTTAACACACCGGTGAACTGCGTCTGTCTACACCCTAATCAAGTGGAGTTGTTCGTCGGTGACCAGAGCGGTACGATCCATCTGTGGGATTTGAGGACGGACCACAACGAACAGCTGCTTCCTGAACAGAATGCCAGCATTCAATGTCTAGATGTCGATCCAGAAGGTATTCATCCTCTGTTTACATGTTGCTGTCTTTCATTTGTTGCCATTCTTAATAAAAATAACCATTGTCCAGTGGATATTAATAAAAAAAGTTCGTATCCACAAAAACAGTTTTAATGGAAAAGAAACATGCGTAATAATCGGTTGATTGTGATCATAGTTGTAAGATCTACAGTGCTGATGCCACGTTACTTTCATAGGGGGAGAACGTGCTTTTCTTGGTATGCTAATAAGTGACTGCAGCTCGGACAGGTCATGTTTTTATAAAAATCTGACTGGAAAAAATAAGAAACACTTTTATGAAGTATTTTTAGTATTTCTTTGCAGGAACCATGCTTGCAGCAGTAAACAACAAAGGCATGTGTTACTTGTGGAATTTGATATCTGGCATCGCTGCGAACGAATCAACTCGCCTGAATCCGAAAATCAGAGTTCAAGTGCACCAGCGTTATGCCCTGAAGTGCAAGTTCTCGCCCGACTCCACGTTGCTGTTGACCACTTCTGCTGATCACACGGCTAAGGTCTGGAAAACGGCCGACTTTTCAGAGCTTTCTGTGTTAACCGTACCCGGCCAGAAATGGGTCTGGGATTGTGCCTTTACACTTGACTCGCAGTATGCCCTTACATGCAGTTCTGATAATGCTGTCAGGTTGTGGCGCATTGAAGGAGGTGCTCCGGTGCGCGAGTACATCGGGCACCAGAAGGCCGTTACAGCGTTAGCCTTCCGCGACGTCAGAAGTGGATAGCACGTTACAGCTCCTCTTCGTTGTCTTTACGAACAATTTATAAATGTTCAATCTGATCATAAATCGCTGACTGACTTGCTGATGTTTTATAAATTTGCTTTCTTATAATATAGGTTGTTCGTCTGTTTTATTCTGCATGTATTTTGACAGATACTGCAAGCAGGAGGGAAAGTTAAGTGATTGTGTTTCTTTCGCAGTGTCAGTATAAATAGAAACAATTGGCTTGGGAAGTAGATGATGTGGTTCAAGAATATTATGCATTTTTGAGATTTAATATAGATAGCCAACTCAGTCTTTACTGCGGCTTTGTTAACAGAATATCGTGTTCTTTTACAGAACTAGCTGCGTAGTAATTTCTGGTGGACAATGCTGGACTGGACTTTTTAAGTACTGAGGCGTTAGTTTTCCACTTAGTCCAGTAGTTGTGACGAAGAATGGTCAAATGTCACAGGGTGCGTCTGCGTGATTGCGGATGGTGGGGGTGGTACATCCCCTGATGTAAGGGTTAGCTGCGAAGTAAACAAAGAACAGCGTGAATGCAGTACCACGAAAGTGTGGTTATCTAAACCAGTGACCAGGTTGGCTCTAGAAAAGCCACAAGGCCAAGTGAAGTGAGAAAACTATTTATTGAATGAGTGAAACGCCCTCAGCTGAGACGGATTTGTTAGGAGTATGAAAGATATTGTGGCAGGAAGGGGTTGCTTAGCTTTGTGCAGTATTTAATAAAACTAAGAAAGCTGTAGAGATGCCGGGGTCGTGTAGCAAAAGTGTTTTGGTTTGAACGTACAAAATAGAAAGAGACGAAAATTCCTGTGAAAACAGGTTAATTGCTGTTACACCGTAAAGTTATGCAATAGAACACAGAATAAGAGAAGAGCTAAGTGGTCGACATCAGCGCGACGCAATCTGTCGTTCGAGATAGTTGCAAATTAAGAAGTCTGTCGAAGATAGCGTCGATCGGATAGAGAGAGAGGAACGTCGTATTATGCAGTGAGAATTTTCCATTAGGGTAAAGAAAAGGTTGTACAGTATGATGGCAAGGTGTGTTCTGTAGAGAGTAAAATGTTTGGCTCTCTTGGAGAGACGCATGCAGAGAGTTGAATTCAGTTAAAATGTTAATGCTCAGATCAGTGTATGGTGTCAGCAAGAATTTCTGCATAAATTGATATATTACGTGTAGTTCTCACTAGAGCAGAAATGTTTCTCGAAGCAGACTGCTGTTCGACCACCGATTGCGTTCAAAATGTAGTTCAGTTACCGACACTGCCATTGAAAAGAAAAAAGGGAAGACCGAAAAGATAAGTTAGCGCCATGCTCTAGAGAATGATGTGAAACTTAAAGGAGTAGTCGAAGATCTGACTAGAAATTGTAAGGTTTGCTGGAACAGATGTCCTCTGTAAATACTCTAGGAAAAAGAAGAGATGTCGGTCTGATACATTTCATGACCAGTACAATTAGCAGTATTTTATTTCGTAAAGGTTATGAATCAACGTTGATGTTCATTTCAATGCTTTTAATGAAAAGTCTTATTCGTAGAGGTAATATGTGTTTACTCTGTTCAATACTAGCAAACACGATGTGTCATTTGCATTTTCTTCAACCAGGCTGATTTGCACAACGATGTGAAATTTGGTTTTGAACGAATTCTGCATTATTGTATTGAAGCATGTGACCGTTCTGAAACTCGTATATGCTGTTTTCGGATAATGCATCTGACCGTACCACCGTCACTCTAAAGGCCATACTTCGCTCTAGCGTCTGATCTAGCGGTTTTATTAACCGCTTTTCATGACGTAGTTGAATGGTTGGTTTTTTGGGCAGCTATACGTTAAGACTATCGTCTAAGATCCCTGATGATGGAAGCTTGCGGTGATCCGAAGATTTTAAGGTATGCTTTTCTGCGTGAAATTTTGTTGTAGTTAATTTGTCTTCGTATTTAGATTATTTATTTTTGGCTTGCGTCCTATATTCACCAAGTCATTTATTATGTTGTTGAGCAGATACTGAATGACATTACCAGAAGTTTCGTAATTCTGGCATGATCGCTCCAGGTATGCAATGTTTTTCGTTTATTTTTAGGTGCTGTTAGACTTGAATAAATTTACATTGACTGCCTTTTCAGTGAAATAATAGCTTTAGGTCTGATTTTTACATTTCCGGATTACTAGCTCAAGTTTATGGTGCCGTTGTAACAGTCTGTGCAAACAATTGTTGTTGGATAAAATACTACGGGTTTGCATGTCGGATATTCAATGCAGAAAGCGGAGTGGCATGCATGTCATCAAATCCGTCTACGTCATGAATCGACAGAAATATCTGTTTGTTTTGCTTGCAGTTTCTTGATGAGTTAGTGGCGTTGGGCAGTTTTGTTGTCGTTTAAACTCTACTTCAGTGGTTGGTCAATGTAAAAACGGAGAAATGCTCATTTTGCTTTGAGCAGTTTGAATGTCCCAAAAAACATGGTGTGTTTTAGTAACAGAATGAGTATGACAAAACCAGCTTTCAAGTCTGTCTCTCTTCACAACGTTACACGTTACGATATTTTTATTAAGCCACTATTAATCTTCTTCAAAATCATTGCTGTACTTTGCCACGAAATGGAACGTTTGTTGATTATGTCGTAAATGGTGAAACCTGGATAAATGCAAGCAGTGCATTTCGGTACGCTGCTAATGTATTATCTTCATTGTAAACCGATCGCTTCGGCATAAGTATCCTTAGTGTTAATCAGTACCCTGGGTTTATATGAAATATTCTGCGTTGTTTAATATACTCAGAGTTTTAATAATATTGATCTCTTTTCAATATTTTCGAGGATTATAATTTTACTTACAGTGTACAGTGTAAGCGCTATAAATAACTTAAGAAACTAGCGTTCACAAATATTACCAAACATCACAATGGATTTCTGGGTTCATTTCTGTTCCCTTTGGGCAGTTGAAAGCAGCACTGAACTCTGGAAAGTTTTTCAGCGTTTCAATGACTCTCGCATCTGCTGGACTATGCACATCTCCGTCCAGTTGTTTTAGCAGTTGTTCTGGAGTGGTGATCTCGCACCAAGAATGTGCGAATGCTAGAAAAAATATCTGGTTCATCGTATAATCCTTGAGATTGTTCACTGGTGCTTCTTGGCCATAAGATTTCACGTAATTCTGGTAGCCGTAGAACGCTGCTTTTATGCCACCATTGTCAGCGATGTTTTCGCCTTCTGTTTGGTTTCCATTTATACATTTGTTCACCTTCTTGTAACAGACATTACTGTATTGGTTAACCACACATTCCGCCATTTTTTGAAATCCTTTTTCAGATGCTGCTGACATCCACATTTGAAGTTTCCCGATGGCATCGAACTGCACTCCCTGCAAACAGGAAACATATCGGTCAAAGAAAGTTTTTACTCATCTGATTCTATAGCAACGTTTGTTTCTGGGTTATTCTACTCAACCTTTGTTAGTCCTATCATAAACTTTACGTATATTTCGGATATATGGTAAAATCCCTAAGCAAACTTCATCAAGGATGATAGCTTTGGATCTAACTAATCAGAAATAGATATTTATTTGATTTATTAGTAACTGCTGTTTGAACAGCCAGTGTAATTCAGCACTGTTATGATAATGACCAGTTATGAAGTGTATCGAAGATTTAGCTATATCCAGAAGCTCTGATTGCGAAGCATGCTGAAGATTCGATAGTGCAGCCCTGTGAAAAACGACTTCATTCTTGAATTGGTCAGCTTGAAACAAATGTCAGAAGCAAGAAGTTAGCACTGTTCGATTTTGTCCAAGGAATGAGCGAAACTTGATTGACGCATCAACTGCTGACATGCGAAACACAACGAAGGATCGTCGACCAGAACATTGCCTAACGAAGGTAACTAAATAGAGATATGTTTTTAATGAGGAATCATTGCTTTGTCGTCACAGTGAGCAGCTCCAAAGATCAGTAAACGAATTGTTCCAGTGGGCAGATATCGTGAATTTTGAGCAGCCTATAATTTTACAGAGTGGCTGAGGAAAGTCATGACGAATCACGTAAACACATGGGTGAAGTGGAGATTGAAGGAAAAGCCTGTACTGGGCCTTCATGTAAACCTGAGGTTCGCAGTTGCAAACAAATAGTTTTGCCATGCAGCGAACCATTGTTTTTACAGCTCATGTTTAATAATGTTTGGACTGATTTCGTTCAGAAACTCTGTATAATCCTTTAAGGGATATTTTAAGCGTTTTCTTTGAAAATGAGCTATTAAATGGAGATAATGAGTGAATTCGTTAGTTCTGGCGAATCTTCTCTGGTTATCTTCCGAAATAGTTTGAATTCTTCAGAACATTTCATAAAATGTAAATAGTCTAGAACCGCCTTATCATTATAAGTCGCCCTGGTTAGACTCTCGACACCGAAAATTTAGCACTATTGAAAAATGGCACTTACTGCACACTAGTAACGCAGAACCATGGAGAATACATGAACTGGTCAGGAATACTGAGCCAGAAGAAAACAGAATGCATTGTTGTAAGATCCTATATATAAATTGCTTGTCTTTCATCTTTCTGAGGTACCACTTAGTGGGAGTGAAGCATGGGACTGCTGTAACAGTTATCAACACACAGAATTTGCCCGATGCTGAATGAAAACATGGTGTTGCAAATACCTCTCATAATGCCAAAGCACATGAGATTGACACATCAAGCGTTACAAAGATTTAACCCCGCCTGTGTTAATGGCAGAATAGCTGAACTCATCATTCAGCAAATGCCATCACTTGTAATCACCAGTGCGTCATATTAACGGAAAGAGTGTGATCTAAAATGAAAGCGGTATAAGTAGCCATTCAGATCAAGAGATCACGATAGTTGCGATGGTTTGAACATATGATGATGATACTTAAGGGGACTTTATCAGGAGAGCTACATAAAAGTCTAGCAATTTGCATATCAAGGGCGAAATTACTCGATTATGTGTCTCGTAATCCAGATTTTGAAACTTTTTTTACTGGCAGAGAACCGGAGCCCCTGGAAGTAATACCTGATGATACTGCCCTCTCGATTCGAAACGAATAGCAGACGCGGAATTCGAATGACTCTCTTAAATCTGACCTGTTTTTAATTTTCACTTTTAACACAAACCTAGTGTGTGTCACGTATAATTACGAAATACAAAGCTTTACTTACTGAATTGTCAAATCCATGCGTCATCTCATGACCTATCACAGCCCCGAGTGCACCAAAGTTGACAGCCATGGGATATTCAGTGCTGTAGAACGATGGATTCGCAATGGCAGCGGGTATGGTAATTGAATTGTACTGTGCGATGTACCAGGCGTTGACATCCGCTGGAGATCCGAGGAAATCTTTCCGATCTGGTTTTTTGAGCAGTTGCTGAAAGTTGACCGCTTCATCAAAGGCTGTAAGTTTTGTAGTTAAGCTGACGAAAGGATCAGAGGTCGAAATCTCATTGGTTAATGATTCGTAATAGGCATTGATGCTCGAGTCGATCATCGTCCAGTCAGGATATGCGATATTTTCTACGAAATCCTTCACTTTCTGAAGAGCTTTGCTCTTCGAATTATCGTCCATCCATTTTAATGCCTTCAATCTGCTGCCAAATGCATCAGCCGTGAATTCCACAAGTTGCCTAAAATCGTTGCTATAATTTTGCTTAGAGATATTTTGTTTGTTTAATAAAGAGACTTTCTGTTTTCAGTAAACTTTATTTGACTCGATGAACTGAATTTTAATGTTGAAGGGTACACCAAGACAGGGATGCTAGTTCTAGTGCAGATGTTTCTACCTAATCTCAACTCATACTATGATTTTTTCCTAGAGAAAGTGAACGCGAGGTAAAAGGAATGGCTCAGTGCAAATAGAGATTATACTATTGTAGATTCCATTGTGGTAATGAAGCACATTAATAACGTCAGGGCCAATTTCCAACGATGAGGAGGCGGGATTAAAAGATCGGCGATCCTGACATCAATGTCCTGACAACAACAGCGGTGTCAGTGTCCGTTCAAGTTTCACTCTCTTAGTAATCTATGTGATTAACATCTGTTCATACGTTCAGCTCATATTAGAATAGTTTAAGTTAATGGTCTTCATTGCTCTGCCTAGCCATACGATAGAAGAAGAAGAAAAAACTGCGTAGCCATTCTTTCATATGGCCTTTTATCGACGATGCTACTTCTGGTCATATAACGCAAATAACTGTTTACGGTTCAAACTTTAGTTAACTTGTCTGCAAGAAGATTCTTTCAAAATTCGTGTTTATTCATGGGACATATAAACCAAAATTTGCTTACAAATATACTGATAAGAGATATTAAAAAATGACTGTGTATGGGGCGGTTTCTGGTAAGATTGTGATTTCTCGGTAAGATAGGATTAGATATATGAGATATCGGCATTATGTTGCTCTGAACTAGCGAAACTTGACTTCATAATCAACGGCAGGCGAACCACAAAGTAGTAAACAAGAGTCCCCAAATGTACTGTAAAGTCCCCAAGTGTAAGAAATGCTTATTTGACATGACTAATGACAAGAAACTTAACAATCACTACCGATCGACAAACATAGTCCTTAAGCAGACTCTCTGCCATGTACATGGAACACGAACATGTGCATCAGCTGTCGTGAAAAGTTTCAATGAAATCTTTATGAAATGTAAAGAAAGGAATGCTACAGAGCTAGAGAAAGTAATTTGAACATTTTCTAACATGAGGTACTGCTTTCAAGAAAAGTAAACGTGAGGGCGCAATACATGCTATAGGTATTAGTGTTCACAGCAGTTGTCCAGTTAATAGTTTCTTTATTCGCGAATTCCTAGTTCTTTCGCCTAATATCAGTATTAAATACCTATTCTGAAATTAAAACATGAACTTGGGTTACTCTGTTGTTTAAGCTCTGCCAGTCTTTGACAGATCTCACCAGGAGTAAATGACGATGAAATTCCGTGATGAAAGCTACTAGATTGGACATATTTTTGTCTTAACTACATCTTAGAAATGTCAGTGAAGCAGAGATTTAAATATCGCTAGCAAATTATGTACGTACATTTATTGATCAAAATTATTATGCTTCTTTTTCAGCGTGTATTAGACATCATCCCATGCATCTTGCTTTTCCTTAAAGAAACAAGTGACAGGGTTTTTGTTGAAAAACTGTCATTGTAACGAAAAGTTCTAAAAGCGTAGCAGTGTAACTGTATCTTTTATGCCATGAAAGTGAATCAGCATATTAAGAGTTTGTAAGTAAATAAATATTTTTAGGATGATGACCGATCCGAAGTGCTTGGATAAGGTATTGTTTATAGGTAGCCAGAGTACCATAACTTTAAAATTAAGTTGGTTTATTGCTGCTTTTTCATTAAAACATTGGTTAAAAATTCTGAAACTCGTACTTGATTTTCATTCTCTTTTCCGAAGAATAATCTTGACCAGTATATACCCTGCCGATGGCGAAAGGCATTGCTTGGACGAGTATGTCAACGCATTCAGAATCTGAATTTGACAGATACAAGTTGTAATTTTTGGTAATGTCAGCCAGAATAAATGGCAGGAGATGTCTAAGCGAGCTCCATAACAAATAGTTGACAAGAGTTCGGTGTTCTGCATCAGCGATAACGTCGATCACGTAGTCCATTGCGGCTGGCGAAGTCACAATAAACGTGGTATTTTCCAACTGCTTCTGCAATTTTAATATTAAGTAATTAGGTAGTTGCATAATTAGGATATGTGTTTTTTACCTCGAATGGCTTTAGGCCGAGACCTGTAAACAGTTCTTGCCATTTGATCGTCGGCCATCTCCTCGTCAGCGTAATGTATGAGACTCGATTGTCTTTTGCTTTATAGTTGTCGTCAGCGACGGAATGCCTGAGTATCATTTCAGCCAAATCTTTTTCTAGTAGAACTATGCTCTCCGCTTCTGCTTCCAGATTCAAATGAATAAAGTCATTTTCTTTGAGATAGTTTGCCGTTGCTACGATTACGGCCTTGAGAGAGTTCAGGTTTTTTTCAGAAAGATAAAATGAGGCTTTCCCGGTAAGTACTGGCATTCCGAAAAAAATTGCGTTCTCATCTACGTTGTTCCAGTTGACCGAAACATAAGGGTTCACAAATGTTGGTGCTCCAAAATTACTAATAATGTATCCTATCGTCTGCGATACGGTGAAGCCTGGAGCCAATGCATTCCAGTGACGTGTAATAATTGGCCATCCGCCCATGGATTTTAGCCTTTGAATGGCGATGCATCTGACTTCGTGGTTGGTAGTATGACTCTGTTTACACGCTCTAAAAAGTATTTTTTATGCAAATCAATAATTTCTTGGTATCTAAGTTGAATCACATTTCTATGAAATATTAAGTCAATATGTCTGTGCAACTTTAAATCATAGTTTGTTATGCACGAAGTTCACTTTAGTACTTTCTTGTATTCTATGCTTAAGTTCATGAAGTATATACATGAAGTCATGTCTAAGCTGACCTGGCCACTGAAAAAGTTTTATTTAAATGCACGATCCAATTGTTACTTTTCTTTTTCTGCACCGCTGTTGCAGTGTGTCGAAGAATCGTTGTATTTTTCAACCATAACCAATTTATTTAAAAAGTTGATTGGCATAAAACTTAAGTACTTCATTCAGTCTATTACACATACTTTGTGTCGTCTTGCGTATTTCAGTTCATTTGTTCTCCATCAAAGCGCGCTATTTTTGCCACAGGGTGGCTGCTTCAGGAAGCTTCTGTGATTATGCGGATTCGTTGCTAAACGGATATACACCGCGAACTCTATTCTAAAGTGTGACAATGTCAGGCGTTCTATGCACTCCGGTTCGCGGTCTTCCTCTGGACATCTTATCCATATCTTTTCGAAGACGATGTGACTGGAGAGGCCTTTCTGTGCTGTTCTCATCGCAAGACTAAATTCCCTCGGGTCTTATCTCTTGACCTGTAGAAGTTGCCTCATTTGTGCTTTTGCCAAACAGCGTCACAATATTATGGATTTAAATGCTAAATTTAAATTTTTTCGCTCCTCAGGTCATCAGCTTTCACGGCGTATCGTACGTTTGTTTTTATACCTAGTTTCTTACGTGACCCGTTTATTGAATGTATAAAATCATTTCTCATGTCTGTTAATCCACTCTGTTGTCGAGTTTATTCACTCGGAAGGTAACCCACAAGGAAGATTATTCATTCCCGCCGCTCTTTGCGTCATAATAAGTTTGTTCTCCTCAGCTTTAGTAGCAGACCAACATCTAACGCCGTAGATCATGGCTGGGAGGATGGTTGCATTGATGAGTTCTTTCCTTAGCCGCATGTGTAGCTCACTGTCGAGAAGTAATGTTTTAGTACGGTTAATGCTGGCTCATACAATCTTCCTTCTTTGGCTTATGCCGGTTAATGTCGTCAGCATTTACGTAAATGAAGCCCACTGGCAGTGCTCGTGTCGCAGCCATTTCGTCTTGGAGACATGAACCTCCAAACTGATCTTGAGAAATGCTAATTCCAATTGCTGAATATTCTTTTAGAGATCCATCATGCCTTGTGCGAGGACGATGCAGTCGTTAGCCGCTCTACGTCAGTACTAATACCGTTGGTGTGATTGATATACTGATGAAAATGCGTTCATGAATCTATGAGTATCTATAAATATTTTTACCTAGCAACTTGACATTGCTGAAATACAATCTTAAATATTTTTTGATAACTAGAATTGATTGTAAGATAAATACTCCAGATAAATATAATTCGATCTGCATTCCTGGTTATCTGCGTGATGCAGAATTCTGAACTTTCATTAACTTCCTTCAGACAGACACAGCATTACTGTTGTCTGTTCTTTTGCATTAACGGTATCAAAAAGCCAACATGAAGAAGCATCTTTCAGAAGCCGCAATACCAAGAAGATGAAAGTGGTCAAACTAGAAGGTTGATACTTTAACAGTTATCCATATTAATAAGCGACTGAATCATCCATGAGCCTGTTCTGCTAATTATTGAATTTTCTACATTTAATAATAAACTTCGATATTAGAATCCAACGTCAAACTATGTATAACTATAACTTGAAAAGTTAGTACCTGAAGAAGGCAGCGACGGTTTTCTCAAATGGCTGAGCTGGCTCCTTTTCCATTTTGTTGATAGTTTTAGCAATTTGTGTTGTCACTTCTGATGACAACAGACCGAACGTTGAAGCGTGGCGATATTTCTCTGACATTTTCTTTATCCAGTTGCCGCACGCATACCGGTAGAAGTCATTGCATGGGGAGACGGAATGGTCAATGCTGTTTGCAATGTCCTTCAGATTTCGTGTATAGGTTTTTTGCTTCGTGGGAATCAGCAGAGCACAAGCAACGACCATTGCAACGACTACCGCAACTGTTCCAGCTACGATTGCTGCAATACATCCTCTATTCATCTCTTCAACGACTTTTCAATATTCCTTACAGCTAACAACATACGCCACTACAAAATGCTGCTTCAAACTGAACTTTTGCTACTAATAGCTTTATTTATATTAGAATTCGATCTTAGTCAGCGACATCTGCGTTTTGGTAAACAAATCTTTGTTCGCCTACCATTTTCTATGAATTAAGATAATGCTGCGAAACTTAACAAAAAGTCTAGCTTTTTATCTTGGCTTTATCTGCAGATTTCGTTTAAAATCCAGAGCAGATTTGCTGTTGTTGAATTTTAGACTGCTTGCTTAACATGATTTATCTTTGAGTTTTTTGATGTGACGTGCGCAACTCATTGGGGTTCCGGGGGTTGTCTTACGTCCATAATAGCTTTCTGTAGTTAATAAGTACAGTTGTTAGAAAGACATGCTCTACGATATTCTTCAATCAAAACTGTCCCTATTGAACGGACAATCGGTAAAACTGGATGTCCGTCCGTTACATAGAGCTCATTTTATGACTTGATGAATTTCACAAATTTTATGTTTTCCTGTTGTGTAGAACTTAGACACCGCAGTAGCGCAGATTTGCGACGTCTGACCATTGCAAGTTTTGTATATGATGCCACGGCACTTTTCTAATGTAATAGAAGCACTACATTACTCCGGTGTTTTCTTGTTGTGGTAGTATCTCCTTCTCTTACATATAAGGTCTCTTAGCTTCTGTGAAAAAAGGCATCGTGCCAGCGCTATATATGTACTTAAACTATTATTTTCTTTTACTCATATTCCTCCTGGTACGGTATGACTAATAGAGGAGTAGTATTAAAGTTTCCTAAAAGGTAGAAAGTTAAGTTGTGATTGATTCCGTTCAGTTTCCAGTCCTCCTTTCTTAAGTGCTCGAGCACGAACAGTTGTGAATTGCTGTTTTCTAGTAACTTACTCAGGAATTTGTTATTCGTCTCTTGTTAAGTAGCAGAGTTTGAAGATGTTTTCCAGTTTCTTACAAACAGTGTAAAACTTGCAGTTAATATATATTATCTTGTGCGCAGACTTCCTGTAGCCGGTAGTTTCTAATGTTCTTCCGTTCTTATTCATTAAGACATCCAGGAACGAAAGCCTTCCATTCATTGCAGGTTCACATGAGGTCTGGATTGTCACATGATGTTGTTCAGATGTTCCCGGATATCATTGGGCCTTTTAGCCCAGCTATCCATTGGGTGAGACGTATTTATACCACGAACCTGGACGACTCGCCGTTGGTTCTAGTGTCATTTTTTCGAATTGCTTTCAATTGCTCCATAAATCCATATTTCAGCGACGAATGGAGTTATCGTGCATCCCTTGGCACAGCGTATGGATTCTGTCTCTTCAGCCACATTAGTGCGCATCCTGTCTAATATGTTCCTTTTGCCTCGAGCCGTCTTGATCTGGTTCGCCAGTTGCTTCCAATTGGTCCCTACTGTGAATTCCACACGGTTAAGGAAGAATTACTTCCGTGGATGTCGATAATGCCAAGAGATTTTTCTTTTCCTTTGTTAGGGGATTCCGTTCAAATTATGGCACATTTTTAAGTGAACTAAGTTATGGGTGTTGTGAAGCTGTTGATTGCGTAAGTGATGATCTTAATGAAACGGTGTAATCTATACGACTTTATCCGTCTTCTTTTGCCTCACGCCTATTCTGTGCGAAGTGGCATTCGAGTTTGAAATTTTTGTTGTAGGATTCGCAGCCGTGATGCTTATTCGTCTTCCCTGCACTTTCTTCCTCACGCACTTGACCGTATGGTAAGGAATTTTCCGTTTTGAGTTCCCTGTAACGGGTCACC